TCTCTCGCTGACAGCCCCGGGGCTCTCAGCCTTCCCTGTCTGCACGGAGGGGGGATCTGTGCCGCCTGCTTCTGGTTCGGAGGATCAGATGAGACTCCGGGCTTACACGTGTTGTGTGTGTGTGTGTGTGTGTGTGTGCGCGCGCGTGCGTGTGCGCGCGCGCGCTATGACCAGTGACGCCGCTGTGGACCACTTTGTGCACCAGAGTGATGGGCGCCGAGGGAGAGGGAGGAGGCTCCGGCACAAGGTGATGCTAGCTGGGAAGGAATGTTAGGCCCTGCATTTAATTAAAAAAAAATAAAAGCAAATGTGTAATTGGTAATTTTTTTTTCTCTTTCATTTCTAAACTTGGAATGAGTGAAGAAGACTTTTTGGTAAGGTTAACGATGCCCGGACAGTTGTGTGAGTGAAATAGTTCCATGTGGCTCTTTCTCAGGGAATACGGCTCATACTTAATACCCACTTGCATTCACTTCCCGGCATATGACCCACTTGCATTCACTTCCTCTTCGTACTTGTTCTTTGAGGGAGATGCTACTCTCTGTGTTTTATAAATGAAGAAACTGAGGTCCAGGGTGATGTATTTAACCAGTCGCAGTACCTGAACTCAGGTCTCCTGCTGGCCCATTGGTTTCCCCCACATTCCACAGCTGTCGGAGGACCTGGCTCCTGAGGGCCTCAAAGGAGGCTCGTGCTGTACCTTGTAAGAAAGTCACGCTCACGTGGAGCGAGTGGCCCGTGGCAGGGCTGGAGGACATCTTGGATGGCTGCATCTTGTAGGGAGTGTCCGAGACGATTTTTGCACGCCGAGCTTAAACACCTCTGCCCGGGTTGGTCAGGGCTGGGTTGGTGATAAGCTCGAGCCCTCAGATAAGACAGGTGCATCCACGGCGGGATGCTGATGGCCTCTGACACTGAGGACTTTCCAGGATCCGTGTGTGTCAGAATTACAGGTGCACAGTTCACCCTGTATCCTGGCAGAAATGAATTTGGCCCGTTATGTGCATCTCGGCCCACAGGAGTAGAACCCGCGGATGGTGAATGCCAGGGCACATGACTTGGCATGGTGAGCGTTTGAGAAAATCCAGGCAGTCATTCGTTTGAAATGTAGCTCGGGCTAAGCACTGGCTTGTCGGGCCTGGAGCATGGAGGCCACGCGGGAGCCTTGACCTGGGAGAAGTGAGAAGCCAGACGTCTGTTTGCAGAGCTGAGGGCACACAGAGTGACTGGCGCTGGGAGGGAAGGCTGCACAGGGAAGCGTTTAGCCGGAGAGGATTAGCGCGCCGAGCCTGGGCGCTGAGAGACTGGGAGCGGCAGGTGGCGTCCGCGGTGGGCCAGCGGCGGGAGGCCTGCGGCTTGGGCTCTGGCTCCTCCGCGACGGGCCGGGTGAGTGTGGGAACAGGAGAAGCTCTAGTGTGCTATTTGGCACAGAGATGTTTGAGATGTGCTGTAGAATGACTGCGTTTTTTTAAAAGATGGAATTCTATCTAGTATGGCAAAATCAAAGGAACATCCATCCTGTAATCCAGAATTTCTCCACCTATGACTGTTTTCCTTTTGCCTGAAGTTTGTGTGAACCGGGTGGTTTATACGCAAACTTAGCTGTTGTGTATTTGCTCTGATTTTTTAAAAAGTCTCTCCCCTCACCCATCCGCACAGAAGCTGAAGCTGCAGAGCGGAGAGATGACGAGAGAGGAGAAGCAGCCGGCCTCAGCCCCGTCCACTCCCAGCAGTAGCCCCCACTCCTCCCCCAAGCAGAAGCCCAGGTGAGCCCTTCCCGGGACTCTGAGCAGCCCGGGGCCGAAGGACCACCGGGGCCGAAGGACCACCGGTGCCGCGTCCAGCCGCCGCTGCTCCCAGCCCCTCAGCGCCCACGTCAGCCTGTGGCTCCTGAGCCAGAAGGGGCAGCTGACAGTTCCCAGTCTGCACGTGTAGAAGGCTACATACACCAGCGTCTGTTTTCTTCTTTCTCTTGCAGAGGCTGGTTCACTTCTGGTTCCTCCACAGCCTTACCTGGCCCCAGTCTTAGCACCATGGATTCTGGAAGTGGGGATAGAGACAGAAGCTCGGCAGATAAATGGAGCCTTTTTGGACCAAGATCCCTCCAGAAGTCTGATTCGGGTAAGGCGGCCCCTTCACACAAGAACGCGGTGAGGCAGGCGCTGTGCCGTGTGTGCTGGGAACCCCCCGCATTTTGAAATCACTTGTTCTGTGCTTCCCTTCTGTAGGAGGTTTCGCCACCCAGGCCTACCGAGGCACCCAGAAGCCCTCTCCCATGGAGCTGATGCGCGTGCAGGCCACGCGAATGGCTGAGGACCCAGCAATGTTCAAGCCGCCCAAGATGGACATCCCGGTGACAGAAGGGAAGAGACAGCTGCCGCGGACCCACGACCTCAAAGCCCGCGACTTGAATGTTCTCACACCCACTGGCTTTTAGAGCGCTTTCCGTCCCGGGGACTCTGGACAGAGGGTGCCCTGCGCCCAGCTCCCCTTTAACTTGGCTCTGACATAGGAAAGGTTTTCTTGTTTTTGTTTTTGTTTTTCCAGATCTCTTAAACTGAGGCTAGAGCTGGAGACATAATTGGTTTTCGAGAAACATCAGTGCAAAGCTTGTCCTTGTGTGGAAGAAGCCATTGTGCGTCGCTTTTATTGAGACTCAGTAAACTCAGCAGTGATGTGTGGGGGGCCTCATGCCCTGTTTGTACCCTTTTCCTGCTCAAGAACTTGGCTCGTTGCTGACGAGGTAGATAACGTTTGTGTTGTTCCAGAACCAATGCTTCTTGATTCCTTTCCCGCCGTCCACGTGAGCCCGGGCCAATCACGGAGCAGAGGTGCTCGCTGACCAGCGCTGGCCCTCGTGGCTGTGCTCCAGCCTTGTCAGGTGGGGGCCCCCCGATCTGCCTGAGGTCCGAGAGCAGTCGAGAGCCAGGCCTGGCAGGGAGCTGCTCCTCTGGGCGGAAGCCGGGGTCTCCTGGCTTTTCGGTTGGCCTAGTGGATCGCTTGTCCCGCAGCCACTTCCTCCTGTGTGTGGCGCCTCCCGGGCCGGCGCTGTTGGGGGCATGCTTCTCTCTCATGTGTCACAGAACAAACACTAGTCTGACAGACCCTTTGTTGCACTTTAAAGTGACATTAATTTAACTCCATTGGTTGAAAACTTCTGAAGGGAGCAGATTCAGCCTGCTGGCGTGGTGTAGACAAACGGACGTTCGGCTTCCTTAAAGAAGGCGGCAGCTGCAGCTGGAGTGTAGTCTTGAGGTTCACGTGTAACTGCTGTCACCTTCTATGTCACCTTGTATCGATT